ACTCTGACCACTACCAACTTGGGGAGGAAAGGGTTTATTCAGCTTACATCTCCCAGGTTGTAGTTCATCAGGGAGCCGAAGGTAGGAACTCAGGGCAGGAACCTGGATGCAGGAGCTGGAGCACAGGCCATGGAGGAATGCTGCTTACAGGCTTGCTCTCTTGGCCACTGCTCAGCCTGCTTTCTTATGCAACACAGGCCCACCTGCCCAGGGGTGGCACCACCCACAGTGGGCTGGGCCCTCCCACATCACTCATCAAGAAGATGCCCTTCAGACATGGCCACAGGCCAGTCCAATAGAGGCAATTTCCCGATTGAGGCTCCCTCAACCCAGGTGTGTCAAGTTGACACTAAAGCTATCCAGCACAAAGCATGTCACTGGGGGCGGGATTAGAGAGATCTTAAGCCTTTCTGGATCTCGAGTTGCTCTCTTGCTTCCTGTGCCTGCTTGAAGATATAAGTGCTCTGTTAAGTGCTTTGTTTCCTGCTCCTGCTCCAGCCACCTCCTACCACCATGCCTCCCCACCATGATGGACTCTTGCTCCTTTGGAACCATAAGCTAAATAAACTCTTCCTTTTTTAAGTTCCCTTGGTCATGGTGTTTCTATCACAGAAGCAGGAAAGTAACTAAGACACCACATTTTCCCCATTTCTCTCTTGATAATCCCTGACTCTTATTATCCCCCCTCTCTTGAGCTCCTTCTTCCCCTATCCCCATGGTTCCTTGTATAACCTTCCCTTCTCCCTTCCCAGTTAAATACCCCCATTTTACCAATTTCACCCTTGGTAACACCTGTCTTCTACTGTCTCCCCCTCTTGGGCTCTCTTTCCCTTTACTTTTCTCTCCATTTTCCTGGTTCCTGTGCTTACATCAGGATATATATTCACATATGAGAATTTGGTGCTAAGATCCACAAATAAGGGAGGACATGTTGTTTGTTTTTTCTGAGTCTATGTTACTCCACTAGTACAACTCCATCTATTCACCTGAAAATTTCATGATTTTATCTTTCTTTACTGCTGAGTATAACTCCACTGTGTAAAATGTACCACATATTTATTTCCTTTCACCAATTGAGGGACGTTTAGGTTGTTTCCATCTCTTAACTACTGTGAAAAGAGCAGCAACAAACAGATACACAAGTATCTGTGCAGTAGGGTGAGTCCTTTGGGTGTATGCTGAGGAGTGCTATGACGGGATCATATGGTAGGTTTATTTTTAGTTTTGAGGAGTTCTCCACACTGCTTTCCATAGTGGTTGAATGATTCTGCATTCCCACTAGCAGTGAGTGAGCATTCCTCCTTCCCACAGCTTCATCAGCATTTTGTATCCTTTGTTCTCTTGATTTTTAGTCATTCTGACTGGGGTAAGATGGACTCTTAAAGTGGGTTTGATTTGCATTTCCCTAATTACTAAGGATATTGAATACTTTTTAAGGTGTTTAGGATGGGAGAACTAGTGAGTTTAATAATGATAGTCAACAGGCCTGGCCTGGTGTTGCATACTTTTAATCCCAACACTTCTGAGACAGATCTCTGTGAGTTCAAGATCAGCCTAGTCTACATAGGGAACTTCAGGCCAGCCAGGGCTACACAGTGAGACACCGTCAAAAAAAGAAAAAAAAAAGATTGAGGGGGAGATACCATAGTACTGCTTTGCACATTTTTAAAACTCAAAGACACACAGCATTCCTTCCCCAGCTGATCACACAGAGCTCTCTGGGCTGGCCTTGGAACCCTATCTACACATTGGTGCAGTGTGTCCTGTTGAAAACACATTCCAAGTTCCATCCAATCAATTTGCAACTGAGCCATTTGCAAGACGAGGGCCATGAGGGACACTATCCTCATGGTAACGGTCCCTGTAGCTCTCCACCGTGCTATGCTCTTTGGGCAGAGGAGATGGGTGATGTGGACTTGGAGGACTACTAAGGTTGGTTGTGTGTCAGTCTGAGGTTGCCTGGGGAACTGCCCATGGTCATGGCTGACACGTGAGTGGGAGATGAGATGGGTGCTCACAGCGGGGACCAGGCAAGGACTGGGGTCTTAGAGTCACACTGAAAGTTTCACCTTTCTCCTGAGCTGGGGAGGAGCTTCTCTGTCCTCACTATCCTCAGCTGGGAGGCAGCTGGCAGATCTCCATGCTAGGTGACTGGTGGGGGGCTGGGCTTGGTGGGGACATCTGTGGGACAGTGCAGTTCTGACAGGAGGTAGCGAGCACAGTGTTCCAAAACATGCCTTTGAGCTGGGTGTGGTGACACATACTAGCAATACCAGTACTTGTGAGGTGGAGGCTGGGGATCAGGGGGTCAAGGTCATACTCCTAATCTACATACCAGTTCAAGTCCAGACTAGGCACATGACACTCTGTCTCATAAAAAGAAAAAAACAAAACAAAACAAAAAACCTTTGACAACTTCAAGGAGCAGTCTCCAAGACAGCCTAATTAGCAGCAGCACAGCCCTTGGAGGCTTTCCGAAAAGCAGCCCTGGATTTCCTAATGCCTTTCTTCCTGTCCTAGAGAGGTGGATGCTGTCTTGAGGTATCTGAAACGGCAGTGTCATGCCCAGAAAATTGGCATCGTGGGCTTCTGCTGGGGGGGAATTGCTGTGCACCATGTGATGACGACATACCCGGAAGTCAAGGCAGGGGTGTCTGTCTATGGTAAGTCTGCTGTGTTTTATTGGTGAGATCAGGAAGAATGGCTGAGTGACAGAAAGCGTAGGTCTCTCCAGCATGGTGCAACACAAAACCCCATAGTGTGAGTTGGACCAGTTTAAGGCTTGGCTTTTAAAATGAGTGAATAGGGGTGGGGGTTGGCTCAGTCAGTAAAATGCTTGTCTTGCAATTGTGAGGTCCTGAGTTTGACCCCAAGAATCCATGTAAAAAAAAGAAAGAAAAGGCCAGATGTGGTGGTGTATATTTGTAATTCCAGAGCTGGGGATTAGGGGACAGGTGGCTTCCTGGTGCTTGCTGGGCAGCCTGCCCAGCCTACTGAGTGAGCAACCTGACTCAGATAGCAAGGTAGACGGTGCCTGAGGAACAAGATCGGTGGCCTTCACATGCACACAGGTGCATCTGTACACGCATGAACATGCACATACAGGTGTACGAAGTTTAATGCTGCCAAAGTTCACCCTTGTGAGCCGGTGAATTTATCTGGCTTATTTGCAGAGCAATGGGTAAGGGGTTATGGGCTGGAGTGCATGCTGGAAGCTGTGACCCAGTGAAGATGGTGACTACCCCATCAGGAGGAAGGACCGAGTGACAGTAAATACAGTAAGGATGTGTGGTTGGAGCCCCTTCCCTGGTCCTTCCCATCCTGTATACTCCAGCCTCTAACTGCGTCCATGTGCAATTAGGGCAGAGTTGCTTACATCTGTTTGGGTGGTGTGACTGGCTACTTGGTTGAGGGTCACGTGACCCTCCCCCACACCTCCTTCTGTGAGAGAAAGTCAACAGGCTGTCACTGGGAGTTAGTAGGCTGGGTCCTCACTGTGAATTGGGACAGTCACTTGCCCTGAGCTCTCCATGTCTTCAGCTGGGATGAAAATGATTCTATCAAGCAATATTTTTTCAAAGATTTACTTATTTTTATTTTATGTGCATATGTGTTTTGCTTTTTATGTTTGCATGCCTGGTGTGAGTGCAGTGCCTGTAGAGGCCAGAAGAGGACGATGGAGCTGCCATGTGGGTGCTGGGAATTGAACCCGGGTCTTTGCAAGAGCAGCAAGTGCTCTTAACAGCTGAGCCATATTTCCAGCCACCTTCACGCAATATTTTTATAAATAGTATTGGGGAAAACCCTTTTCCAAGATACACATAGCTCTTAACTACATTCACAGCACACACATAGAGCACATACACACAGCACACACATGTGTGTCCACACAGCACACACACAGCACACACATGCACACATATGATGGAAAGAAAAAACTCATTCTAAAACAGCAACTTCCACGCACATACACACACATGAACACCCGCATACATGTGCACACGTGTGCACACACATGATGGAAAGAAAAGGAAAACCCATTCTAAAGCATGGCAACTTTCACAGTTTAGCCCAAATGAATCAAAGTTAAAGTTGTCATAGTGATGACATAAGAACATTATACCTACGTGGAGAAACTGCACAGCAGGTACACAACTTAGGAGCATTCACACTGACTCTGTCAAAAAACTGAGAATTGATAATGTAGAAGATTCACACTAAAAATGCTGAACACAAAGCAAAGGCATTTGGCTAGCACAGTGGAAAGTCACACGCACCGGCGATTTTTATCTGGTTTAATGGTTCCTCACTGTGGAATTTTCACCTAGATACAAACCTTTTAAATAATGAATCTGGAGCTGGGCATGGCACACACCTGTAATCCCAGTGATTAGGAGGCTCAGGCAGGAGGGTTATGGTCACTCTATGCTACACAGTGAAACTGTCCCAAATTTCTAGGTGGAAATTGTCACTGGCACCACCTGTTGGTCGCTGTTGTACAGCATGTGACAAGCAGACCATGAAAGGACCTAGTGCCAGGTAGAGCCACCCTCAGTCCAGCCTTATCCAGTGGCTTTGGCAGAGTGGGGCAGGGAGCAAGGCCATCCATCCTGTGCCTCTCTGTCTTCTAGAGTCGTGGAGAAGGGACACCCTCTGTACTCCTTAGCTTTGTTGTGCCACCAAGGAAAAACTTTTTTTCCTAACTCTTTTGGTAACTTTCAGCAATACTTATTTTCCCCAGAAGTGGGCCTAACCATGGGTTGGGCAGAGTGTGCTTTTAACTAACTAATCTCTAGGATTCTGAGACAAGGCTGTGAACTGATTTCTACAGAATGACTTGCTAGGTGTAAACTGCATGTGAGGGTGTGCTGGATAGCTTTAGTGTCAACTTGACACACCTGGGTTGAGGGAGCCTCAATCGGGGAATTTCCTCTATTGGACTGGCCTGTGGCCATGTCTGAAGGGCATCTTCTTGATGAGTGATGTGGGAGGGCCCAGCCCACTGTGGGTGGTGCCACCCCTGGGCAGGTGGGCCTGTACTGCATAAGAAAGCAGGCTGAGTAGGGGTCAGGGGAGCAAGCCTGTAAGCAGCATTCCTCCATGGCTTGTGCTCCAGCTCCTGCCTCCAAGTTCCTGCCCTGAGTTCCTACCTTGGGCTCCCTGATGAACTGCGTGCAACCTGGGAGATGTAAGACAAATAAACCCTTTCCTCCCCAAGTTGGTACTGGTCAGAGTGTTTTGTCACAGCAATGAAGAACAAACTAAGACAGAGGGTCATGTTCTAATGACTATTCTTATGGATAAAATCGCCTAGTACAGTGCAGTGAGAACCTGTGGGGCTTGTGTAGAAACATCTAGAACAATGGTTGTAAAGGCCATCCCCAGAGGGAGCGTTTGTCCCACTGCCCGGTGTCCTTGCACACCAAGCAGCCCACAGGCTCTCCTATTATTTAATGGCCTGGGTCCTAGTAAAGGAGGCAGAGTGGGAAGATTTGGCCCTGTCAGCTGGTGTTTTACACTGTTTCAGAGGACAGGCCGATGTGAAATTGCGAAGAATCAAACATTTTACTTGGTAAATCCAAATCCAAATCAGGCGGTTTTCTGTGGCACCGCTGTGCAAGTCACTCTCATGGAACTCTTGTAGGCATCATCAAAGAGTCTGAAGATGTTTATAATCTGAAGAACCCTACATTGTTCATTTTCGCTGAAAATGATGCTGTGATTCCCCTTGAGGTGAGTCAGCAAATTCTCATTTGCGGTTTTAATAGCATGTCCTGACATTTGGGGAAAAAGTACCAAAGAGTTCATTGATTACTATTTTCCAATAATGAAAATTTTAAAATGGAGCTTTTGAGTGACTTAGAATGGAACTCTAATCCCAGAGTGTGTTTAGCATGGTGTCTGAAGGAAGTGTGTTCAGAACAGCCTGTTTCTGCGAAGGAACAGGCTCTGCCTTCATTCCTGCATGGTTAACACCTGGGCTACCCACAAAGTCTCTTACCTTACACATGGATTTAAGTCCAGAGTTGATAAAGAAAAAGCAGGAAAATCTGATTCAAAAGCTAGATATTACTAGAAATTACTAATAGTAATAGAAATGATTTTCCATAGTCAACTTGGTAGCTCGGTTTATGTTTTAGTTTTACTACCGTACAAAAGCAATACACCATCAGTAAAAATCATACTTTGAATTTGGATTTTTCCTGGTCTAAACACTCATGTGTATGGCCTTACGGTGTTGGTAGTGGGGGCAAAGTAAAACTCCCTATCAGCCCCTCCTCCACCAGAGGAAACCAGCAGTATTCTGGGTGCACCTTGTTGCTAAGCAGCAATGCTTAAGAGAGTGGCTGTAGTTTATTATTTTATGAGTGTTTTGCTTACATGTTATATGCACCAGTGCATGTGATGCCCAGAGGACAGAAGAGGGTCAGATCCCTTGGAACTGGAGTTATAGACAGTTGTTAGCTGCCATGTGGGTGCTGGGAACTGAACTGGGGTCCTCTGTAAGAGCAGCCAGTGCTCTTAACTACTGACCCCTCTCCAGCTACTTGCCTTTAAAAAAAAAAAAAAAGTGTGTGCATACACTGTTGTGGATTGAATCCTGGCATTACACAGTGCCCCTACCACTGAGCTAGACCCTTGCCCTACTAAATGCATTTTTGACATACACATTTTGAACGTGGGGGTTTATCAAGTCTCAATCTCATGGCTTTGTGCATCGCAAGAGAGAAGACTGCTCACCTGCTGACAAGCCTTTTATTGAGGAGGTGAGGAGGAATTTAATCGAGTGGCTGGACAAGTACATCTAAGTTTTTACTTTAAAATGTAGAAATCCTAAATTCTGAAGGACAAACTCAGTAGAAACTTAATGTCTGAAAAACACTTTTAACGTGTGCATCAAATAAAATTACTTACAAATGATCAGTACCTGAAGAGTTTGAACGAGAGTAATAATGAATTAGGGAAAAGCTGGGGCTATCAGGGACCCACTAGATGTTCAGATGTAGCCTTACGGTATTCAATTGGCATGCTCTTAAAAAATTAGTCAACTTGTAAAGCAGGAAGACAGTGAACTGTCAAGTTGGGTTGATTCAAAACTCCCAGGCCTGTGTCTTAGGTAGGCTCAGTGTGACATCTGTGTATTGCAATGTGAGTACTGTTGAAATTTTCCTCTGGCCCAATTACTAATAAACTGATTTTTCCAAAGTTTGCTATTTGTAGCTTTTAATAAAAAGTTAAATTACATTTTGGTGTGTTTGTGCGTGTTATCACTGTGCACGCATGGTTTCAGGACAGCCTTCGGCAGTTGTGTCTTTTTGCGACGTGGTCCAGGAACAGAACTCAGGTGACTCAACTTGCTGGTCTGTTTTTGCCTGCCAAGTCAGCACACTAGCTCTACTTTCTTCCTGGGATAATAGAAAACAGACTATTTATTATCCCGCATCTCCTAAGCAGTTTTCCTGGGCTAGTCAGCAGTGTTCCATCAAAATAGTAGAGGGAAGGCAGAGTGCTTCATTGGTACCTGCAACTACTAGAGGCTTCGTATGACTTGGCACAAGTGATGCTTCTCCTTGCATTGGAGCTGTGCAGTCTGTTTTGAGGTGGCCCAAGATTCCAGTGCTGCCCTGCCCAGGGCTGCAGGGGATTTGATCATGAGATCCTGTGAGACAGAGTATTTTCATGATCCCCAGGCTGATCTTGACTCCCTGTGCTCAAGCATGCTCCCTCGGCCTCCTGAACAGGTAGGACTACAGTGCACACCACTGCACCAGCACACTGAAAACTTCTCTTGCTGGATGGGCTGGTACACAAGTCTGACCCATAGAAACTTTGCTGCTTGCAGATGTCCTTGGGGATCTCATTTGTGTTGTGTATTCCTACCAAGATAGCCACTCTCTTGTGGCTTCAGTCTTAGGGATGGGAGACAGGATCAGCTGTCTGTAGGTGAGGCACAGGAGGCCACTTTTGGGAACATGTTCAGTCCAGCAGCAGTATGTGAGCCCCTGGGCAGATGAGGGCAGCTCTCCACAGAGCAAGTGAGAGGGTCACTGGCCTGAAGACAAAGCTTTCATTGAGTCCAGTGTTACCCAAGCAGTGCTCTACAGTCAGGTGCTGTGACAGAAGGGTCACTGTAGCCCTGTGTGGCACATGCTGGACATGGGGATGAGCAGGGCAAGTAGGTTCTATCTAGCTGTCCCACAGGCAGTGGTCATGAGATGGAGCACTGAAATTGTCAGTGATGGAGATCAGCTTCCAGGAAAACAGAAAACTTCAATTCTGAGGGGATGCTAAGGCAACTTACAATTTTAGAACTTCACTAGTTTTTTCCTGAGCCTGCTTTACACCTGACCAGTGCAGCCAAGACAAGCTTCTGCGTGTCAATGCACAGGAAGGGTCCCTGGGACATCCTGCTGGTTCACCTAGCTCAATACAACTCAGTAGATGTACGGCGCTTATTTCCTGCCACAGCAGAGCTAAGCACTGGTGGGCAGGCGGTCCTGCAAACGGATGGGATATAGAAAATGTGAGACACATCCAATCAGGCAGGTCTCTGACTCATTTCAACTGCAATAGCTGCACTGTGATGCTGCTCCCAGAACACAGTGGTCAGAGTGCTCAGTACCTGACTGCAACATTCCATATATGAACTGAACAGGGATGCTAAACTCCTAAACCTACAGCACATTTTATAAAGCACACAGTGCACTAATGAGGAGAGAACACAAACACCCGACAGGTAAGATGGATCAGTGTCCAGGCTCACAGCCCTGAAAATGTCACCTGAGATACTTTAGGCAGAGTCAATTTTTGAATTTTACCGTCATGACTCTGCCTTAAAGTGGCTTTGTAGCTGGAGATGACTTTGAGCACCTGAGTGCGCTGCCTTCACGTCCCAAACGCGGAGACACAGGCGTGTACCACCATGCCTGTTTTTCTCTTATTACAATTCGCCTTAACTGCTGTTGTTTGGCCCGATAAGAAAACCACTGGGTCCGAGTTGCCCTCTAAGCACCTGCTAGCGGTATAGCTCTGCCCATGCCAGTTCTGACTGGGCTCATGAAATGTGGCCAGGGTCAGGGTCGAGCAAGATGTGTCAACAGTCAGTCAGCATTTGCTTCATCAGCCCCCAGGTGGGTGTGACCTAGGAACAGCACTTCAGTCATCCTGGAACTCCGAGGTGGGAACATCCATTTATTTGGGGCCTCTATGAACAAATGACCGCTCTCTTCCCCACCCGTGCTTTTTGAAGGCACAGCCCATGTTCCTGTCAACTGTCAAGCAAATGCTGACATGATGTTCAAGGTAAAATAGCGTATGTTTAAAAAATCATCTATTCGAACCCCCTCAGTTACAGCAGCATTTAATGTTAGAATGTTTTTTAAACCTGAAGATAAAGACTGTTTAAAGAGACCTCTTTAATGAAAACAAAAGCTTGTGAGATGACATTCCTCAAATTACAGTGCTCTAAACAAGTGGAACCAGTTACCCAACAGTTGCTTTATTCCAGCATGTACGGTGGCTGAGAAAGCACGTAGTAAGTAACTGTACATGCAGCACGAGATTCCCTTTATTTAATCACAGCAGTGATGACGGCGTTTGATTCTACTTTTTTTCTATTCTTCAGACTCCCCAGGTTTACGGATGTCATCAATCTTCAAAATCATCCTGACCATCTGTGTGGCAAGAGAGATCTGCTGCTTCTTCCCAATCAAGGTTTCTATGACATGTTGTCGCTGCATATCTGAAACAAACAAGCAAATCACTGATCTCCAGAACACAATAAGCAGCTTCAACTTTCTATAGTCACAACAAAGCTTAAGAAATGTATTTATGGGCCGGAGAGAGGGCGCAGCGGTTAAGAACACGGGCTACTCTTACAGAGGACCCGGGTCCAGTTCTCAGCACCCACAGGGAGGGTAGTAACTGCCCTCCTTTTAACTCCTGGTCCAGGGAATCTGATGCCCTCTTCTGGCCTCCATGGGCATGGCACAACATGAGGCACTTAGAAACACACAGGCAAAACACTCATACACATAGAATTAAAATAAAGAAAGCTGTTATGGTCACCTGGCTACACAAGTTGTCCTAGATTGTTTTCAGACCAAGTCATAACTCCTGAGGGCCCTCCTGAATGAATCTCAGAGCAGATGCCTGCATATCAGAAACACTGGTACTTGAGTGACAGAAGAGGTGTTTTTTTTCTTTCATTGCTACTGGGAGTGAACCCAGGGCCTGGAGCATGCTGGACTATTCTTAAAATCTTTTTACAAACTGTCACATTCTGTGGTTGGAACTGGTTTTAGGAATGCAGGTTTGGTCCATCAATAGAAAAAACATTGAAGTTTCAACAAGCTCAACTTCTGTCCCCCTTTCAACAGGTGGATGGCAGAAATAGCTACAGAAGCCACAGAGTGCTGGTTTATCAAATACTCCACAACCCAGGGGGCAACCAGGTGTAAGCTGTAGACGCATTCTATATGGCATTCAGAAAACAGACTGACAGATACACTTGTAAGTGAAGGCACTTTTTAAAACCAGGTGAAAGCATGCCAGCTTTGAAATACTGTATTAATATTTGTTATTAAAGGGAGTTTTGCAGTGCTAAGATTAAGTCTTAAAACTCGAATACCCAAAATGTGCTTGAGTACTCCAAAAGGAGTCTGAAAGCATCTACTGCACTGCACAGCAACACAGTCCACCATTTTCAGCTGAATGGAAAGCCAGGCCACCCAAGGAATCTCATGGTGACTCACCATTTGTACCCTTGTGCAAACAGTCAATCCCGAGTGCAGGGTTCGACTCCTTCACTTGTTTGGCTCGGACTTCAGTCATAGTCTGGATGGGATTCATGCCACTGTTTTCAGAAAGGGCCATGGGGATAACCTCTAAGGCATCTGCAAAAGCTCTCATGGCATACTGCTCCAAAGTTGGGCACTGGAAAGGCACAAGGGCAGTGAGTGTACATAGCAAACACCAAACCAATCTGCCAACCACACAAAGCAGCAGTAGCCAAGTTCCTAGCACCCACATCGTACTACACCTATGAAAAGCTCACTTGTGAAGAGGTTAATGAGCTGTCTTATTTCTATCTACAGGGCAGAGGCGGAGAGGACACAAACACCTGAGAGCTAGCTCACAACAACGCAGCTCACTCTTCTTCTGTTCTTACCTTATCTGCCTCTTGGCTAACTGCCAAGGCACAGGCTATTTCAGCAGCTCCTCCTCCATATACCACACGGTTATCTCGGATGAGGTTCCGGATGACACACAAGGCATCGTGAAGGGAACGCTTTGCTTCTTCAATGATCTGGGGAGAAACTCACCTCCTCAGGGCCTCTGCTTGCAAAGCAAGTCCTCCTAACCACTGAGCCACCTCCTCAGCCCGAGACCTGCATTCTTACCATCTTATTTCCTCCTCTGATGAAGATGGTTACAGCTCTGGAGTTCTTGCACTGCTCGATGACCAGCATTTTGTCCTTTGTTGTGCCAAAAGAGACCTCCTGCACAACACCAGCAAAGCCTAGCTTCTCGGCTGTGAGCTCGGAGAACCGAGGGACAATCCGCCCTCCAGTTGCAATGGCGATCAGCTAGTTGGGATGGGTCAGAGAAGACAGAGTATTGCTCAATGCCAATGACTTCTAGAACCGGACCACAAATAAGCTAGAGCTAACCCAGGACCATCTTGTTCACTAGAGCTGCTGCACCACTATGGTCAAGAAATTCAAGTTTTGTGTGAAGTGCCTGGCTAGATGAATAGGTTATTTATGTATTTATTTATTTTTTGGTCTTTGAGACAGGGTCTTCTTGTAGCCCCAGCTGGCCCAGAACTCATTATGTAGACCAGGCTGGCTTTGAATGCAGAGATATGTCTGCCTTTGCCTCCTGTGTGCTGGGATTTAAAGGAGTGTGCCACCATACCCAGCTGATGAATAGGTTTCTAAGAGTCAGACATCTTGGGCTGAATCTGGTGCTACCTAGCTCTATCACTATGCATGACTTGTAAGCTTTCTGGTTGGCCCTCCCTGACTGTGAACCAGCTCACCATGTTCCCGCAGGAGGCTGCAGGAAAGACAGAGGAGGCAGTTTACCTGGATCCTGACAGTGCTTGGGAGGACTGCTTCTATTCTGCTGCCAGAGAAGGCGCAGGACCTGGCTTTCCTGCCTCAAAATCACCAGGAAGGAAGGGTGAGCACGCTCACTCAGAACCAGAAATACACAGCACTATGATTAAATGAGAATGATTCTCGTACACTCTTCACCTGTTTCCTTTCTGTTAACTTGTGGATCCTTGGAGTGCTGTGACTATTTCAGGCAATTGCACTGACACATGTGCACACTGCAAGCTCAGTCCCACATCAGGCAAGGGGTCTCTTACCTCAATCTCAGGTCCTCCCACCCAGCGGACTGCAGGCAGGGAGTTCTGAAGAAGTAAATGATTGGCTTCATCATCAAAGCCCCACTGGCAAATAGCTAGGTTAGCACCAGTTTCTTTAATCTGGGAAAAGAAAGGTCACAATTCTCTAAGAAAATAGATACTTATTGTTACATAGTTTAGGAAAAAGAAAAGGGAGAGGCACAGTTGTGTTTGCAAATAAGTACATTAAAAGAAACAAAAAAAGCACAGAAAAGAGAAAGAAATATACAAGAGCTCTTTCCAGATCCTAAATAGTGAACATGTACCAACAGGAATCACCAACTCTGCTTTAAAAAGCCACACTCAGTAATTGACGCTATGTTATTACGAAGCATAAAACATGGACCAACATAACCAGCACTCCACCACCCCATCCTTCAAGAGCTCAGTCACAGATGCCCATCTGCATTGTGTGCACGAACAAACCAGAATGCCACAGCACATTTCTCTGCACTTTGCCTGTCCCACTCTGAGCATCAACAGATTCCAGACTATCTAAAGACCCAAATGAGGCATGCATTTTAATTTATATTTAGTTTATTTATGTATGTGTTCATTGTTGATAAAGCCTCACCATACAACCCATGCTGGCCTTGAATGAGATTCTCTTGCTTCTATTCCCAAGGCCTGAGTGCTGGGAATAGCAATTCTGCTTCCAATAAGCAGTGCCCCCTCTATACTCTACACCAAGTGTCTTTCCTCAAGGCTGTAATCTGAACATGCCACTCCTCCCGTGGTGACAATACCATGTCCCATATCACTGTGGAATCATCTCTACCCAAGGCTCCCACAGCATCCACCACTCCTACCTGTTACTCCAGAACTCTGTAACCCAGGCCACGGCATGCTTCCACTCCATTCTTGCTATGTACAAAAACTGGCCATTCCTTACAGATCAACTTCCCTTACATTCCCCATCACACAAGCTACCTCTTTCCTCCCAGGTGCTCAAAACAGGAGAAAATCCTTCTTGCTTCTCATCGTGGCCTCCACGCTGCTCTGGGCACTCTCATTCTTCAAAGCTGCAGCCTCCAGCTCTGTCATGGTTCTGTAGACCTTTCCCAACAACTTACGAATGGCCAGTATGAGCATCCAACACTCTTGGCCCTCAAGTCTTTCCGCCTCTTATGCACCCCAGCCAGCATTCCCAAAGTCGCTCTGTACCTTGCACAACACTGCCACCAGGCTCCAACCCCTGACTGGCTACTAGGTGAACCACACGGCTGCCTCAGAGCCACCCCGGCCCCAAATGCTCCTCCCCAAAGACACTGCCCCCCACTTCTTTAGAGCCTTCTCTGACCAGCACTCCCACCAGAGCCTCCACCACTGTTCACACAATCTGGGGCTCACAGCAAGAGTCTGACTTGGTTCCGTGCTATAGGTCTAGTGCCTCCAACATTGCCGATATGCAGCAGACACATGACTGCATCATGAAAGAATCCACGAACCCAACAGTCTCCTAAAGGCAGACTCTCCATGTCCTGTAGTCTGCTAGCTTTGGTAAACAATGCTTTAGCCAGAATCTTTCTCCATGCGTCCTTGTGTTCTGGGCTTTAATTCCCAAGACAGGTTTGCAAGAGGAACTTGTAAGTCAAAGAGCTTGCACACCTGAAGCATAAAGGTAAAATCACATAGACCTGTCTGAACAAAGGGCTGGGAATACTGTGGACACCTGGGTGTCCTGTCACTTCACAACTCTTGTCAAGTGATACAGGGCACAGGAGAGGGAGTAATCAAAAACACAGTTAACAATGCCAAATACCTAAGGCGTCACGAACAGGAGACCCCTTTTATACCACTTAAAGCTTTTTTCTCACTGTGCTTGTGTTTTACTTAAACTGAACACAAACTGTTCTGTTATCTGCAGCTTCACAACAAGGTCCTCAGATGCTGACTCAAGCTACAGCCATGTGTTTACCAACACCCCAGTGACACTGTCCTCTGGAGGATCACTTTAAAGACTTACTTGCTGAATCATCTCCTCAAACTTCTCCTTTTCGTACTTCTGCAGGGCTTTGTAGTCCTCTACAGAGGTCACATCCAGCTTGTGCTTTGTCTTGGGTTTAGGTGGCTCAAAAGGACATGTAAGAATTGCGATCTTAGCATTTTCCACTCTCTATGGGGTGGGGAGAGAAAAAAAATTAAGGCCTCGCAACTGGAGCATTTGAGCCGAAGCAGTGTGAAGCCTCAGGCACTGACTTACTTTGGGCATCTGTGGGTGACTGAAGTCCTTATCGACGATCACACCCTTAATAAGTTTGGTGTCCTCCAGCCTCCCGCCCACTTTGCCTTCCACCTTGATGAGCTCAAAGTCAACATCTCTCCGCTCCATGTCTGCTACTGTGAGGACAGCATTGACAGCAATCTCCGCCATTTGTCGGTGACAGCTGTTAACCCTGATGAAAGACAGCACACAACCTTTCACATTACTTACATGACCGCTGCAGCCGAAGCCATCACACAATCTACTTCAAAGACATGTCTAAGAATACTAGCAACACAGTTCCCAAGTTCAAAGTTGAATGAGAAAAACACAGGAAAAGTAGCAAATCTAAGCCGTGAACACCCGAGGCCTGCTCGGGGAAACTTAGCACTTGCAAGAAAGTGCCTGACATCCAGAAAACATAACTAAAACGATGCCAGTATCCTGGGTAAGTAACTTGGTAGACTGCTTCAAGGTAGACCTGGCTTCTACCAGATGATCCATGATTTTTTTTTTTTTAAATAGTAGGACCCAGAAACACTTGGGTTTTACAGGCATGCAAGAATAAGTTCAATTTATAAAGCAACAACAAAGTTAAGCATTTCAAGTACTGAGAACACCTTCTTCCTAGGAGAAAATGGTACTCTAGAAGGCTGTGGGCAGTCCCAGCCTCATCTCCCCCATAGCTGGACAGAAGGCATCACAACAAGGGTGTCTTCTGTTTTGGCTGCTGTGGGCATTTCCTCCAGCAGAAGGCCAGTAGGAACTGGCCACACAGACCAAACTAGCATCAAACTCAGAGATCTACTTGTTCCTGCTTCCTGAGTGCTGGGACTAAACACATGTACCACCACATCCAGCCTGACCCCTCATGTTGAGACCAGCCCCTCCTTTTTGCCAAAAACCATCGTACACACACTAAAAATCAAACAGTTCACATGGTTACCTATTAAAAAAAAAAAGGTGACAGGGCCAGGGAGATGGCTGAGCAGTGTTAAGTGTTTGCTGCCAAGGCTTGTGACCTAAATTTAATCCCTGGGGCCCACATGGTAGGAGACCACAGACTCCTGTAAGGTGCTAACCTACACGTGTGCACACACAAAAAATGTAAAATAGCAGCAGGGAAACCAGAGTGCAAATAAGAGGGAATAAAGACGTCAATCCTATTCTCTCATGTGGAATAGTTAATAAATAAAAATAAAAGCATTATTGATGGAGGAGGAGCAAACAGGAACGAAGATCACAACATCCATACCTGAAGATGTCACAAAGAAACCCATATTCTGTGTACTAAAAAAAATTAAACTGTAATGAAACTTTGTACACTGGGCTTTATGTGGCAACAGGCCTGAGTTTCTTTCTACCACTGTTCCCGAGAACATCTCCTGGCCAAGGCTGCTCAGTCTTCAGGTGTAAACAGCAGATATTATGAAAACAGTATTATGAAAACAGGTAGAGGTAACTCAGTCTGAGGGTCACTTTTAAGACTGGCCCTACTAAAAAGTTTTAGAGTGACAAATCTGCTTGAGTGAAAGCAAGCAAGCACGCTGCTTCTCCACTGACTTCCTTGTAAAGACAGGACAGGAGGAAGTGTTGCCAGACTGACAGAACCCTTAAGCAGGAGCCTTTCTGACTGATTTCACATCATCCTATCCCACTAAACACTAGGATACAATCTTACAACATCTTGTCAAGGTGACTTAATAGCTGGGAAATTCAGCTTCCAACTAAAACACAAGATGCTTGCAACATCGAAGCCAGCAAAACCAATAGAAACCCTACCAAATCAATTCCTCCACCAAATCAATTCCTCTTCACCAGTGATCATACTGCTGCCTTCAAAAACAAGCGAACAGTCCTCTACAACACCCTACTGCTGGACACGTACACTTTGGAGCCCAAAGTGGTTTTTGCAGTCTGAATCAGGGGTTCAGGGTTGTTTATGTCCACAAGGACACTGTCACTGATCTTGTCCAGGTGGTCAATAGCGATTCGGGCAGCCTGCTCATAGCCATCGGCGATTCTGATGGGGTGAATGCCTCGGTCCAGCAGCTGCTCAGCTTCTTCCAGCAAGGCACCAGCTAGGACTGCAAGCAGAACAGTACAGTCAGTTTAAGAGTTAGTACAGCACAATCAGTACATATCAGATCCTACCCTGGAAATAAGAAAGCTCTAGAATTAGGCTGGATACAGTTTCAGAAGCCAGGGTGATTTTGAAAGGAGGCCCTGTCTTGGTTTTGATCCCAATATATGTCTGACAGGTTTCCTCATAAAGATGAATGTACTATGAAAATCTTAGGGTAGGAGCCAGTAGGATATCTCAGTGGATAAAGGCACTTGCTACCAAGCCTGACTGCCTGAGTTCAATCTCTAGAACCCTCATGGTGGAGAGAACCTATCCTTGCAACTTGGCACCCCCCACCCCCAAAATAAATAAACGTGAAACATCAAAACATAGACCAGAATGCCAGGGCAACAATTTAAGGAGGAAAACCCCTATTCTTTTTCCTTGGCCTGACATTTGCCTATCTCCTGCCAACCTTCCCTCCCCTGTCATTTTGGTACCACAGAAATGAATCTGGCTCTGCTGAATTAAAACCAGCTGTTCTAAGTACAACTACAATGGTGCTTGGGAAACAATGGTACCCCGAAATACTGCCGAGTAAAGGATTTTAAATTAGCTGTGGGAAAGGAAACCTTGAAGATATTTACACCACATCTCTTCTGTCTCTCTTAACTTAAAAATTTAAACTTATGTCCATGGGGGCTGGAGACATGGCTCAGCAGTTAAGAGCACTGGCTGCTCTTGCTTTGATTCCTAGCACCCACAAGGCAGCTAGCAATCATCCCTAACTCCAGCTCCAGGGGATCTGACACTCTCATGACCTCCGCAGGCACTGAATCACACGGGAGCATTTATATACATGCAGGCAATACACTCACACACATAAAAATAACATTAAGAAAAGTTACGCCTATTTTTGTCTGTGCATTTGTGCACAAGGAGGTCAGGGACAATTTGTGGGAGTTGCTTCTCTCCATCATGTGGTCCCAGGGATCATATTCAGGCAGTGGGGGTTGGAGGGGGGAAGCCTTTTCCCATTGAGCCATCTTGCTGGTTCTCCCTCAACTTTTGATTATAAACAGTTCAAACTTCAGGGGAAAAACCGTGATAGAAAAAGAAACGTCACATTACTTACAATTTTGCATCACATATTTGCTGCACATACATACACCCTCGTTTTCTACTTAACTCTTTGAGGATTACTTGCAGAAATCAAGACATGTCTCTTCCTCTATTTAGTATGTAACAGAACCAGGCACTCTTCTATACAATGGCAATACAACTGCCACAGTGAGGAAGCTGACACTGATGCAGCATCATACAACACAGGATCCATGATTCCTCCCTCCTTCATACCTGTCTCAACAGCTTTTGCAGCTTACAACAAACTGATCAAAGTTCCAATCACAGTTTTGGTCTATTTCATTCCCTAACCCTCCCCACCTCTTCCTGGACTTCCCCACACTCAATTTTGAGGAGTCTGGATCAAGTGTTTTATAGTGTGCCCTTCAACTTGTCCAACTGCCCTGAGGATTTGACTCAGTGCACATTAGCTCCTCGGGTGTTTTTAAACAGCACCTGATGTCAGAAAAGTTATTTCTTTTCTTACCAACCACTCCTGTAGTTCCATCTCCAATTTCATCATCCTGGGATTTAGACAGTTCAACCATCAGCTTGGCAATCTGATGATCCACATCCATCATGCTTAGAATGGTGGCCCCATCATTAGTTACAGTCACATCGCCATCCTTATCCACCATCATCTTGTCAAGTCCTAAAGAGACAACAATCTTTAGAACGCCAGTGGGAGAAGAAATGGACAAGCAATGCTGAGAATCGCTAAAGGTTAGAGCTCTTGATCTAGTTCTTAACACGCAAGTCACTGGAAACATTAAAAATAGCTACAGGAAGACGTTTTTAGATTTGGCTAATCCTAATAGCACAGTGGAAACAGTCTAAATGCCTCAAACCCAAGAAACACATACAAACCACCAAAATACAGATCATCATTAAATGCAGTATGAAGTGCAAGAGAAGTGGATTCTGGAAAATGCTAATGAAATCAAGTGAGGAAAAAAGCCCATCTAAACTGAACGCATGCTACAACTGCATAAGCAGTCTGGAACACAGCAGAACACTGGCTGTGCTGAGGTAGCAGGACAGCCCCATCATGTTTCAAGATGTGGCACAGGCTGTCCTGTGATAGGAAACTTTTATTAAAAAATATAAATGGGGGACTGGAGAGATTAAGAGTGTTGGCTATTCTTGCAAGGACCTGGGTTCAGTTCCCAGCCCCCACACGGCAGCTAACAACCACCTGTAACTCCAGTTCCAGGGGATCTGACACCCTCTTCTGACCACTGCAGGCATTACATGGCATGGGGGCACTTATATACATGCAGGCGGTACATGTGTACACATTAACTGTGTATCTGTGGCTCTCTTACCATTTGGTCCAAGTGATGTTCTCATGGTATTTGCAACAGCTTTTGCAGCCATTATGTGAGACTAAATGAAACACAGAAAAGCAAAGTTACACAGCATTTCTACAGCACAGTGATGACTGCAAAGCATGACTTAGGATGTCATTTCTCTAGTCTAGAATAGGCTGCATGCAGACAGGCCTGAATTTAAGAGTGGGAACATTCACAACTACAAGCTTTAGCAGCAAACGCTGTGTCAGCTCATCACCCTCAACACAGCAAGGCAGGCAGGGTCTGTCGGCAGCCCAGATAAGCTGAGAGCACAAAAATCCAAGTAGGAACATGTAGTATGTTCAATGGTCACATCATGCCTACTGCAGAAACATTCCATTAACCTAAAAAAAGAAAAATCACCTTTGTGTGCTAACATTTTAATTAAAAAAACATTTTTTTATTTGTTGCCATATGGGTGCTGGGACCCGAACGAGGGTAGTCTGCAAGAGCAGCCAGTGCTCTTAACCACTGAGCCATCTTTCCAGCCTGTCTGCTAACATTTTAAAGACTAATTTTCAAAAGGAAAGTTCTGAATAGCAGCTAAGAATTTAGCAACAGTGATTCCACAGGCCATCTAACCAGGCAGATTACTGCTCTGAACTGTTCGTTCATTCTCTTGCCTTAAAATTAACGGTGGCCGTGTCTGCAATCCTAGTTACACCGACAGGCCAATGTTGGCAGTGAGAAACACAGTAAGGGTTAGGGATACAGCTCACTGGCAGTGACCACCTAGCATGCGCAGGGCCCTGGGGTCAATCCCCAGCAATAGGGATGGAGAGACAGCAACTACTTCACCTGTGTTATACTCTCACTGCATCCAGCTACTGAGCTAAACAGCACATGTGAATAACTTTCTAAGGAAGAGAAGTCATGAGGGAGAGAACTTGGCAAATAGGAGAAAGACAGACTCTGTACAGAGCACACTGGCTGCTTCTGCATAGGACCAGAGTCTGGATCCCAGCATCCATGTGGCAGCTAATAACTGACTATAACTCCAGTTCCAGGGGACCTGACACCCTCTCCTGACCTCTATGGCCACAGTATGCCATGGTACACTTACACACGTGGGCAAAATACTCGTAACAAAAAAATTTTAGAAGAGAATTTGTAAGTGCAAAGCACTATGGTTCAGTTGTGAACTAAACAGGAATTTGCTGGCTGGCCACTTACCCTTTGTTTTGGGTTATATATTTTTTACTTAACTTGGTCTTGGTGCCTGTCAGGGAAGGTGCTGAGACAGTGTCTCATTGTCTAGGCCAACTTGGCCCAGAACTTGGCACTCTCCAGCCTTTGGCTGCTTGAGCTCTGGATTATAATATAAACCCATGTCACCACACCTAGTAGGGTTACACACTTTTAGAACACACTTCCTAAGTACTGCCTGCGTTTTTTTGGGGGCGAGGGGTCTTTTTGAGACAAGGTCTCCCAGTAGCTGAAGCTGGCCTGGATTCACTATGGAGACCAGGCTGGCCCTGAACACACAGAGTTCTGCCTGCCTGTGCCTCCTGAGTGCTGGGATTAAAGGCGTGCACCACCATGCTTGGCTTAAATATTTTCTTATTTTTTACTTTACGCATACAAGTATATCGCTTGTATGTACAAACGTGCACTCCTGTGTGGACATGAACCATGTTCCTTCCCTCAGCGGTGGCTGTGAGATGTTTGGCACTTTCTCCACGACTGATCCTAAGTTCCCAACTATGTAGAACAGTGTCTATTTCAGAGTGATGATTACATGCAATAACCCATGTACTTAGCACTAAATGTGACATAACTTTGAACATTAACATTAAATTTTCTTTGTTAGACGTTACTTTATCTGCAAGTTCGAGATTGGAAAAAAGAAACTGAACATACAATGTAAGTGACTTGAAAAATTTCCCCTAGAAGAGAAACGAGACTGAACATCCCTACTCCTTGCCTCAAGCACTGTGTCAAATTCAGTTATCCAGTACTCCTGTCAAGCGTTTGGCATGACAGAAAACTGCCGCACCACCAAACCAAGTTCTGAGAGGTCGTGAAACGTGAGCCCGCGAGAAGCCTGTATTATTCCTCCATCTGTTCTGGTAAAACCCTAAGACATGAAGTGAGCAGGGCCACCTCAACCCTGGTGGCATGGCTTCCACACGTGCCTACGTGTATAGGGTCCCTCAAAGCGTCCCTTCCCTCAAGCTACCTACTGTGTGCCTCGGCTTACAGTCGGCTACACCTCCCCTCTAGATGACCCGATGACCCGAATCCCCAGCGGAGCCGAGCGTTCGAGCCCCAACGCTGGGAACTACCGTGATTCCGTCACCTGCGCCCCGCCGGGGACTTGGCGCGTCTTCCCGCGCAGGCATCCGTCTCCCCTGGCTCCTTCAAGGTGGACCCGGTACAGCCTTCTACAACTGTCCTCGGCCTCCCTTCCCACCACGCATCCTGCCGTGTGCCCATTTTCCACGCACGTGACGGCGCGGTTCCAGGACACGTCAGGGGCGGCAGCACTCGGGGGAAACACTCCCTAAGGCCAACGAGCGACAAAGAGCCCGAGCCTCACTCCAGGGGGCCCCGGAGCGATGGAGGCGGCCCCACCGTCGGGCAGGGGTGCACCCGGGCCTCTGCGAGCGGGAGGGCGAGGTCTGCGCCAGTCCCCGCGCGGGTGCTCGGCCAAAGCCCGCACATGGCCGCACCGCTGCTCCGCTCGCGCAGGCGCAGAAGGCCGTGAGGCCGCCTCCCTCCGTCCCACCGCCCGCGCGCCGCCGGCCGTTACCTTGAGAGCCTCGAGCCCCATGAGCCGGGACTTGCGGTCTTGGTCCTTGATGATGAGGAAAGGGCGCCCATACTCATCGAAGGCGAGGGTCCCCACAGACGCCATGGTGGACGAACGGGAGTGACTACCCTAGAACCTGCGGAGACCACTCCAGCATCCAGGAGGCACTTTTTCCTCTCGCGAGAAGATGTAACAGTTCGCGCATGTGCAATGTATAGGCCACGCCCCCGGCCTTTGGAGGGGGGGGGGCACCCGAGACTAATTTAACGCCAGAGCGTACCTTCTAGAATCTGTGGCTTTCGGAAACGTCTATGAGCTCGGAAGTTGGGGGGATGGAAGGCACGGAAGGGAACTTCTAGAACCGCACAGCCTGAGTCACTAGACCCAATTCAGCCACAGCTACACCTGGGAGTTTCTGAATAGCGGGTCCCAAGGGGAACTAGCTTCCTACGCCATCTTCTCCTTTATTCCCACCCCGGCTCTGAGGTGGTAAAGTCCACTTCCGGGTTCCCGCGAAATCTCGCGATGGAGAGAGGAGGTGAGGCTCGATTGGCATGGCGGGTACGGTAGTGCTGTAGCGCACGGTTCGGGTGTCGTGCGTGCTCGGTGAGGGGCTCCGCCGGCCGGGGCGCCGCGGGCAGAGGTCGACGCGGGCGGGACGGCGGCTGCGGAGGCCGCAAATGCCTTGGACCGTGTGAGCAGCCCGCCGCGTCCACCTGTCCCACCTGCCCGGTGTGCAAGTGCTGGGGTCCTGCCTGCTGCAGCTGATGCTTGCCAGCGGTCTGGATCAGCTCCACGGCCTTAGGACTGAGCTGCTGGGGAGGACTCCCCTAAGCTCGGCCTTAGGACGGGGCTGCTGGGGAGGACTTCCGAGCACGGCCTTAGGTTAGGACTCTGCAGCCCTCCCATCTGCTAGCCGGTTCTTGGGAGAAGCTGTGAAGTCCGTGTTTCAGTTTTATCTGCAAAAAGCTGTACTAATATTGCCTGTATCACATGATTGCAGGAAAGACGCAGGGAGCATTCTCAGCGGGCTGTGCATGTTAAATTGCCACGTTACACAAATCCAGTAGCTTGCCCACGGGTGTGCACAGCTAGCCCTGCCTGATGTTCAGGGTGCCACTCTTAACCCTTGCGTGGTACAGCCCCACAGAATTTTCACAGGTAACACTAACTGCACTGTGCTTTGTCCCTAGGTCACTATCTTTCACAAGCTTGGGTTTGTTATGGGCTTCTACTCTCTCTACCCTTACCCCACAAGAGAGAAAACCGGCCTGTTGTAGTGTAAAAACCAGTTTTTATCAGGTACTTAAAACTTGAATGTGTGCTCATCTTATCCAGTGTCTGGCCCTCTGCGTCCCAGGCACTCTGTGATGCTCCAGAGACCTTTTGGGTTTCTTGTAGGGTCTTCATTTCCCTTCAACTTTGATGAGTTTGGTGTCTTAGATTCTGTGATGTACTTTGTTCATAAATTTATGAGGAATAGTAAATATCTAACCACACCTGCACCATGTTTCCCATCAAGAATTATATAAAAAGTACAGTATATGAGATACATTATATATTTCTTGTTTTGGTTTTTTTTTTTTTTTTTTTTTTTTTTTTTTTTTGATCTTTTTGAAACAGGATCTCACTGTAGCCTCAGCTCTCCTGGAACTCACTATGTAGACCAGGCTGGCCTTAAACTCACAGAGATCTGCCTGCCTCTGCCTCTTGAGTGCTGGGATTAAAGGTGTGTGCCACCACACCTGGCCTGAGATACATTATATATTTTATGTCTAGTGTCTATATATATATATGGAATCTCCATGTCTGTGTGTGGATATGTATATATGCACACAAAGATAGATTATATGAGAGAAAACATTTGCCTTACTGAGTCTGTTTTACAACGGAAAAAAGTTCTGTTGTGTATGTATGTACCACACATTACTCATTCATGAGTTGATGGATAGCTAGGCTCGTTTCAAGAAAAGCTTCTTGGGTTGTTGTGATAGCTCGGCTTGTAAAGGCACTTGCTGCCAAGCCTGACAACCTGAGTTTGATCCTGGTTCCCACATGGTGGAAGAAGAGAGCCCTGAGCCTTGCAACGTGTGCATGTGCTTACACACACACACACACACACACACACACACACACACACACACACAGACACAGACACACTGAATGTAGTAAGACTTCTTTTTTTTTAAAAAAATTATTTTTTATGTGTATGAACATAATGCCTGCATGTAGGTGTGTGCATCCATTTCATGCAGTGCCTGTGGAAGTCAGAAGAGGGCATTGGATCCCCTGGAACTGGAGTTACTGATGGTCGTTGGCCACCATGTGGGTGCTGGAAACTGAACCTGGGTCATTTGCAAGAGCAGCTAGTGCTCTTAATCGCAGAGCCATCTATCTCTCCATCCTCAAGAAAGACTTCTTTAGGATCATAATATAAATGCCATATTTATTAAACGAGCATGCATGTGCAAGTTCATCTCAAGTACTACAACCTTCAAATACAAATCCTATTTCAAATGTTTGCCTGATCCTGGGAACATAGGGGTCCATCCCTTCTTCCTGCCCTTTTCCTTGGGTTTGAACTTGGATATGGACTCCAGGGACTCTTTGTACATCTTAATCACTGCCTCTACTTCATGTGATCTGACTCTTCCTGAAAATTATAGTTTATTAACAAGTATTAGAAGTCACCAAGCAGGCAGGCCTGGTGTCTGCAGAATAACACAGCAGTCCAGCTTTTACTTTGAGGAATGGACCCAGTGCTCAAGAGGGTAGTGACCACCCAGCTTTTGCCTATGTAGTCAAATGATTGACATTCCAAAGAGCACATCTGGCAAACATATTTTGCCACTTGTTTGTATTGTACTAAGTAATCTTGGGACTCCAAACAAGGGGTAAGAGGACCTGTAGAAATCTTGACTTCAATTTTGAATGCTCAAGGGTTGTTTTTCACTGATAATCAGTACATCTTTAATTGAACAGAGCTAACAGTGTGATTATAGATTTACGTTGTAACATCCTTAAGAACTCAGGCAGTGGTCATGGATGTTGTTTTCTGCATACATATCTTTATGTGTTTAAAAAACTTATAGGAAGTTGAAGTAGAAAAAAAATTATTTTTGAGGAAGCAGTGGGGAGTTTGGGCCAAGAGGCTAGTCCAGAGGTCTGGAGTGCCGAGACAGGAAGTGTGCCAGTCCTCCTGTTAGGAGGAGACATGGGGTGGGGGAGCTGGGAGGGTGAATGAGCCTGGGGGAGTCAAGGCACAGCGAGCACAGCCGCCAAACTTACCCAGGCAAGCTGCTGGCTCCTGGAAGCTGTGTGCTTATCTATTTTTTAAATTTTATGTGTATGAGTGTTTTGCCTGCATGTATGTAAGTGCACTCCTGTCATACAGTGCCCCCCCAAAAAAAGAAAGATTAATGATTTTTGTCAGGGGACACTGATGCTGGGGTTACCTTCCTTTTTTAAAAATGTTTTTTTTTTTCATTTTATTTTATGTGTATGAGTGTATTGACTGCATGTATGTAAGTGCGCCCATGTGTACTGCCCTTGGAGGTCAGAAGAGGGCGTTGATCCTCTGGAACTAGAATTATGGACAATTGTTAGCTGCCATGTGGGTACTGGGATTTGAACCTAGGTCTTCTGCAAGAACAGCCAGTGCTCTTAATCGCTGGGTCATCTCTCCAGCCCCCAATTTCTTTTTATTTTCTAATGTGTACATGTGTGTCTCTGAAGGTAGGTGCACTTTAGTGCAGGTGCCCTAGGAGGGCAAAGACACTGGATCCCACTGGAGCTGGCGGTTCAGGTAGTTGTGAAACCAGTTTTAAAACTCACTTAAGGGACTTAAGGACTCAAGAATGAAGCCATGCTGGGAGCCTGACTGCTGGGCGCTGCCCTGTGACCCTTGGCTGTGTGGCAGCTTCTCATGTGTCCTGTGTTCAGAGTTGTATCTTGTAGAGTAGATGGTCACAGTTCATGAGTGTAGTGTGCAGAGCAATGGTTCTCCAAAGGAGGCTGCACTCAGCCACAGAAGCTGTGCTGGTGTGATCCAGGATCTGGGCTAGATCCTCAGTGTGGGCCCCCTGTTTTCAAAATGGAGAGAAGAAAGGAGGTATCAAGATGGAAGCAGAGGTTGGAGTGGTGGGGTCAGAAGCCAAGGAATGTGGGCAGCTTCTGGAAGCTGGAACGTGCAAGGGAACTGCTCCTCAGTGTCAGGGCTTCAGGGGGATCACAGCCCCAGTACCCCATGAGATGTCTGACCTGCACTGAATGGTTATAACCAATGTGTGTTGTTTTACAGTCACACTAAGGACGAGCATGTGAGGTCCCCTTACCCTCCTCTTTCCTGTGGATGTGTGTTTTCAGTCTTCCTCGCAGCGATGGTCTTTGCTGTGGGGTTTCACATAGCTCCAGGGGTGTGTGAGTAGCTGGCGCAGTGTGTACTGGCCCTTCCCCAGTGCCTTGCCAGCGTCCATGCATTCTCCCAACAACACTGAGACCCCCAGTTATGAACAAGGAAGTGGAGGCTCAGCAAGAAGGAGTGGGGGGTCACACTTAGTGAGTGACAGTGTGGGCATCACTGCCCTCTCTGGCTCCAGAGGTGCCTGCTCTGGCTCCTGTGTTCTGCTTGCCATCAGTCCTGTCCCATCCCTCTCAGTTTTCCAGCCCTCTAAGAATCCTTGGAGGACTGCACTCAAGGAGGGTGCTTAAGGTGACAGTGCTCTGCAATCCCTGATTGAGTTTGTTTGCTCTCTTCCATGCTTAGAGAATTGAAATGACTCACTTTTTTTTGGATTTGCTCTTAAAAAAAATCTCAGTGGGGCATGGTGGCACATGCCTTTAATCAGCACTCAGGAGGTAGAGGCAGGCCGATCTCTGTGAGTTCAAGGCCGGCCTGGTCTACATAGTGAGTTCCAGGACAGCGGGGGCTACGGGGAGACCCTGTCTCAAAAAAATAAAAAAAAAAAAAAAAAAATGTCATTGACACTTACTAAACATTTGGTAAAACCTGATTTTTCTGTCTTTGGTTTTTTTCAACAGTGATGCAGATGCTCAGCCAGTTTGGTGCATAAGCTTTCACTTTGCTTTAAATAGGTAATAGCTAGACGTTTTCATGCTTGTTTGTCCAGATGTGAGACTTCCTTTGTTCAGAACATAGAAATGTGGAATTTATGATTAAAACTTTCACTAATGGGTATTGAATTAGTAAATAGATAAGCTACTAGACTCCTAGACACACCAAATTAATACTAATTGAAGACTAAAATCTTTTCTTTCTAATGTAGTGAAGAATTTTCTCAAAATCACTTTAATTTTGTCAGTGAAATTTAGATCTCATTGTAGAATCATATTTATAAATTAGATTGTATTGAGCTAACTTACCCAGTAAAAAGCACAAGTTGGGGGCTGGAGAGATGCTAAGCAGTTAGAGCACTGGCTACTCTTGCAGAAAACCCAGGTTTACTTCCCAGCACCCACATGCTGACAACCCTCCGTAACTCCCAATTCCAGGGGATCTGATGCCCTCTTCTGACCTCTGTGGGCATTGCATGACATAGATGCACTTACATACATGGAGGCAATACACTCATAAAGAAAAATAATAAATAAAATTAAAAAAAAGAAAGATAAATAAAAAGCACAGTTAATTTGCCATAAGAGCTGCAGAGAGAGATTCAGCCTTGGCTTTCGGATGTGTGTTACACAGAATTCTGTTTCTTTGTAGGCTCGTCCCTAGAAATGCCTGAGGAGGAGAGGCAGGTGGGACCTGTGCCACCTGCAAGTCTGGCAGCAGATGGCTTGAGGAAAAGCAGTTGGGGACTCTTACTTACAGGGATTGTTGGGGGGGCGCTGGTGGCTGTATACGCTGTGGCTACACCGTTTGTCACACCGGCCCTCCGGAGAATTTGTCTGCCTTTTGTACCTGCAACCCCGAAGCAGATTGAAAATGTTGTGAAGATGTTGCACCGCAGGAGAGGACCCCTGGTGGACATTGGTAGTGGCGATGGACGCATTGTGAGTTATTCCAAAGCAGTTTAAGGTTGGGAACCAGGGCTGTTAACATTTCTGCTTTGTTTAAGGTTGGGAACCAGGGTTGTTAACACGTCTGCTTTGTGTCTTAGGCTTCCGCAGAGATTGTCAAATAATGATGGTTTGGGGTGTGTGTTTCATTTTGTATGTGTTTGTAGTGGGGGACTGTTAGACCACCAGCATGTGCTTGGAATTCATTTTTCTGTGATTTATTTTTTTCTTGAAGGAAAAAGTACTCTGTAAATATGTCAGATAAAAGGCTTAATTAATTGCTAACCATCAATGGTCCGTAAAAGATTTGGTTCAGGGCTGGGTATAATGGTGCATGCCTTTAGTCCCAGTCCTTGGGAGGCAGAGGCAGGCAGATCTCTGAGTTTGAAGCCTATCTGGTTTATATAGTGAGTTCCAGGCCAGCCAGGGCTACAGAGTGACACCATGTCTCAAAAAAAAAAAAAAAAAAAAACCCAAAGCAAACCAAAACAAAAGAGTTTGGTCCAGTACAGGGCATAATTAGAAGTCACATGTTGAATCCTGGAGTCTCACAACTTTCTGTTTTCTCAGTATAGATGTTTACTTTTACACTTTCTGTATGTAACAAATAATCCTCAGTGGTCATAGAGAGTTAAGAAAGGGCCACTGACAGCCTCACTTGACTAAAGATAGAAAATTAGGGGGCTAGAAAGATGACTCAGTGGTTAAGAGCACTGACTGCTCTTGGAGAGGACCTGGGTTCAGTTCCTAGCACCCACATGGTGGCTAAAAACTCTGTAACTCCAGTTCCAGGGAATCCAGCACCCTCTTCTGGTCTTCATGGACATTGCACAACACTGGCGCACTTACATGCAGGCAAAACACTCGTACACATAAAGATAAAAAGAATAGTTGTGTGTAACTATGATCCTAGCACTTGGGAGGTAGAGGCAGAAGAAATTTAAGGCCAGTCTCTGCTGTAGATTTAGTTTAAGGCCAGCCTGTGCTACATGAGGCCCTGGCTCAATGACCCAAAGGGGGGAAGGAAGGAAGGAAGGAAGGAAGGAAGGAAGGAAGGAAGGAAGGAAGGAAGGAAGACCCAACAAACTGTTGTGACTTCAACATGCTGTGATGATGTCAACCTGAAGTTCTGAGTAAAGAAAGGTCACTGATGATAGCTGACTGGTCCTGAGTGGGCAAGTCACTGCCTCCTTAGGGCTCATCCTGCTGAGCTGGAGGAGTGGGGACAGCGATGAAAGAGGCTGGTGGTGTAGAACTGTGTGGTGTGCAGCTCAGCAGGATCATACCACCTTTCACTGGTGCTGTTGGCACAGACTTGCTGTTCTGTGGTTGAGATTTAGAGTAACCAGAGATACTAAATGTGACTCAGATCTCTGCTGAACTTAAAAAAAAAATTCCTTATTTTTCTCCCTCTTTAAAATAAAAAGATTTTTATGAATGTGAGTGTATTGCCTTCATGTATGTAAGTGCACCCATGTGCATTGCCCACAGAAAACAGAAGAGCGTGTTGGATCCCCTGGAACTAGAGTTATGGATAGTTGTTAGCTGCCATGTGGGTGCTGGGAATTGACCCCAGGTCCTCTGTAAGAGCTGCTAGTGCTCTTAACCTCTGAGCCATCTCTCTAGTCCCATTTTCTCACATTTTTTGTTTTTGGAGACAGGGTCTCCGTGTAGCCCCACCTGGCTTGGAATTCACTACGGAGACCAGGCAGCCTTGAACTCACAGAGATCCACCTGCCTCTGCCTCCTAATTGCTGGGACTAAAGGCATGTGCCATTACACCATGCCTAGCCCTTAAAACGTTTCTGATACTGCTACTGGTGGGCCTGTTTGGATTCTGGAGGCAGCACATTCCTCATCTGGCTGTTACTATGACCCATATATCAAGTAACTCAGAAGGCAGCTACCTTTGAGTGGGGCCTGGAACAGGAAAGGGCCCTTCAACAGGTCCAGGCTGCTGTACAAGCTGCTCTGCCCCTTGGACCATATGATCCAGCAGACCCGATGGTGCTTAAGGTATCAGTGGCAGATAAAGATGCTGTTTGGGATCTCTGGCAGGCCCCCATAGGGGAATCACAGCCGAGGCCATTAGGATTTTGGAGTAAGGCTTTGCCTTCATCTGCGGACAACTATTCACCCTTTGAAAGACAGCTCTTAGCTTGCTATTGGGCCTTAGTGGAAACTGAACATTTGACAATGGGCCACCAAGTCACCATGCAGCTGGAGCGCCCCATCATGAGCTGGGTTTTATCTGACCCCCCCCCCCAGCCATAAAGTAGGCCATGCACAGCAACAATCCATTATCAAATGGAAGTGGTATATACGTGATCGGGCCTGAGCAGGCCCGGAGGGCACAAGCAAGTTACATGAAGAAGTTGCCCAAATGCCTATGGTTTCTACTCCTGTTACGATGCCTCCTGTTCTCAAGCATGCAACTATGGCTTCATGGGGTGTGCCCTATGATTGGTTGACTGAGGAAGAGAAGACTAGGGCTTGGTTTACAGATGGTTCTGCACGCTATGCAAGCACTACTCAGAAGTGGACAGCTGTGGCATTACAGCCAATTTCTGGAACAACCCTGAAGGACACTGGGGAAGGAAAGTCTTCACAGTGGGCAGAACTTCGGGCAGTGCACATGGTTGTGCATTTTGCTTGGAAAGAGAAGTGGCCAGAAGTACGATTATATACTGATTCATGGGCTGTAGCCAATGGTTTGGCTGGATGGTCAGGGACTTGGAGGGAGCGTGATTGGAAAATTGGTGAGAAAGACATTTGGGGAAAAAGTGTGTGGATAGATCTCTTCAAATGGGCAAAGGATGTGAACATACTTGTGTCTCATGTAAATGCTCATCAAAAAGTGGCTTCAGCAGAAGATGAGTTTAATAATCAAGTAGATCGGATGACCCGCTCTGTGGATGGTCAGCCTCTTTCTTCAGCTATCCCTGTCATTGCTCAATGGGCCCATGAACAAAGTGGCCATGGTGGCAGAGATGGAGTTTATGCATGGGCTTAACAGCATGGACTCCCACTCACAAAAGCTGACCTGGCTACAGCTGCTGATGAATGTCAGATCTGTCAACAGCAGAGACCAGCACTGAGCCCCCAATATGGCACTCTTCTCCGTGGCTACTAGCCTGCAACATGGTGGCAAGTTGGACCACTTCCATCTTGGAGGGTTCAGCATTTATTCCCTACAGGAATAGACACTTATTATTATTATTTGCCTTTCCTGCATGTAATGCTTCTGCCAAAACTACCATCCAGGGACTTACAGGATGCCTTATCTACTATCAGGGTATTCCGTACAGCATCGCTTCTGACCAGGGAACTCACATCACAGCCAAAGAAGTGTGACAGTGGGCCCATGGTCATGGAATCCACTGGTCTTACCATGTTCCCCACCATCCTGAAGCAGCTGGCTTGATAGAACAATGGAATGGCCTCTTAAAGACACAGTTACAGTGCCAATTAGGTGGCAATAGCCTGGAGGGCTGGGGCAGGGTCCTCCAGAAGGCAGTGTATGCTTTGAATCAGCATCCAATATATGGTACAGTTTCTCCTATAGCCACAATTCAGTATGCTTTGAATCAGTGTCCAATATATGGTACAGTTTCTCCTATAGCCAGGATTCATGGGTCCAGCAGTCAAGGGGTGGAAGTGGGAATGATTCCATTCACTATTACCCCTGGTGACCCACCCACTAGGAAAAGTTTTGCTTCCTGTACCCTCTAATTTGCACTCTACTGGCTTGGATGTTTTGGTTCCAGAGGAGGGAGTGCTTCTGCCAGGAGAGACAACAAACAGTCCGTTGAACTGGAAGCTAAGACTTCCTTCCCCCTGGACACTTTGGGCTTCTGATGCCCTTAAGTCAGCAGGCTAAGAAAGGAATAACAGTATTAGGAGGGGTGATTGACCCAGGGGGAAGTTGGACTGGTTCTCCACAATGGAGGTAATGAAGATTATATCTGGAAGGCAGGAGATTCCTTAGGATGACTTTTGGTGTTACCATGTCCTGTGATTAAGGTCAATGGGAAACTGCAACAACCCAATCCAGACAGGACAACAAATAGCCCAGACCCTTCAGGGATGAAAGTATGGGTTACTCCTCCAGGGAAAGAGCCAAGACCTGCAGAGGTGCTTGCTGATAGTGGAGGAAATACAGAATGGGTAGTAGATGAAAGTAGTTACAAATACCTACTTAGGCCACGTGACCAGTTGCAGAACCGTGGATTGTAATTGACATGAGTATTTTTGTCCTATTTGGTTAAGAATAGGCTTGTGCATGTATACACATATGTTAAGCAGATACTTGAGTTATTTTTTTAATGTGTAATTGAGATAAGTGTTAAGTGGTTAAGTGTTGTGAACCTATATGATTATATTGGGTTATGAGACAGTAAAGGACGAAGCATTCCTCGAAGACCTTATCACCTACTCTAAGATATATAATGCATTGGTCATTGTATGATGGGATAGTTATATCATGTTAGGTGAAATTATGACCTCAACATTGTTTTCATTTGAAAATTAAGCATGACATAGAGAGATGCTATTGTGTGTCAAGTTGACAAGGGGTGGACTTGTGATGGCTAATCCTGGGTGTCAACTTGACTGGATCTGGGATTAACTGAAATGAGAGAGATCTTCTTGATTGGACCTTCTGAAGCTGGAAGACACACCCTAAATGTGGATGTTATCTTCTGATGGCAGCCAGTATAAAAGGCCAAGGCAGAGGAGAGCACCAGGCTTCTTGCTGCTTGCCGTCTGTCTCGCTGGTGAATTCTTACTGCTGTAGACTGAAGACTAGCTGATCTTTTGGAATTCATCAGACCTTCAGAGCTAGATTGGAACTACTGAGACATCCAGCCTTGTGGACTGAGCGACTATGGATTCTCAGCCTCTCCAGTGTGGTGCAGCCATTGTTGGACTAATTGGACTCTATCCTGTGAGCTAAGCTGATAAATCTCTATACATATATATCCATTCTACCAGTTCTGTTTCTATGGAGAACCCTGACTAATACAGCTACCATTGTATTGATACGATATTTACCATCTTAAGCATTTTTAAAGCACAGTTCTGGGATATGAAGTCATTCAAATTGTGCAGTCACCACTGCCACCCACCACCACAACTCTTTGCATCTTGCAAAACTCAGAACAAATTTATTAGGTAGTAGTTACTAGTTCCCTTCTTTTTCTTAGCTTCTGACAACTATCAGTGTTAGTTTTGGGAACCTGCGGGCTGATGAGATGACTCAGCCAAGCCTGACGACCTGAGTTCTATCCCCAGCATCTGTATGGTGGAAGAAAAGAACAGATTCCTGTAAGTTGTTCCCTGACTTTCACATGCGTGTCTACACACACACACACACACACACACACACACACACACACACACAGAGACACTAAATAAATAAAAACCAAATTCGGTAGCATGTATTAATTTTGGTTTTGTTTTTGAGACAAGATCTCACTCTAGTACAGGCTGGCCTCGACCTTGCTGTCCTGCCTGAGCCTTTCCAGTGCTGGCTTACAGGCATGCTCTTCCAAACCCTCCTGGAAGGAAGTTTTGAACCCTTGCCATGTTTGAAACATCTTTGTAGTTTCTAAGGAAATGGCTTCTGTTAGGTTAGGAGAGCTGAAAAGGGAGGAGCTTAAAGTTAAGGAGTAAGAACCAGAGCCTGCAACAGGCAAGGAGTGTGTCCTTTTATCCAAGGGAGCATGGCAAAGGGCTGGTGCCGTCTGTGAGAACAGACAGCAGCAAGCAGGAGCAGAGCAGTCTGTACTTACATAGGAACTCTGCTGAACGCAGCTGAAGGAAGTTGCTCTGTGTCAGGTGTCAGTGTCCTTGGGGTACTTGAGGGGCTCATTTTTCAGGATGAGCAGGCATGTTATCTGTAAGCAGTCTCTGTAGTGATCAGTTGATAAGGCCAGGCCACCAGAGCAGGCTACGGCACAGCAGGAGTTAAGGTGACTCTGCAGAGTCTCTGTCAGCCAGGGAAGTGACCAGTTGGTAAGGCCTGATCAAAGCCCAAGCCACCAATTCGGGCCATTTTGCTGCCTTGAGGAATTCATATAAGGAAGCTCAGGACTCTCCTGCAAGTTACACATCCTGTCAGTTTCTTTGTGGCATTATGGTCACTTGGGAAGTTTCCTGAGGGGTCTCCTTAACAAGAGTGCTTCCTTAAGTGGGGCAGGATGGTCTGGTAGAGAGCCCTTCCATCTCAGGGACTGGAGGCTTCAGTTGATTGTATTTGACCTCATTCCCCTTTTCCCATTTTCAGTTTACAACCAGCGTGGCTAACGCTAAGGAAATGTGTAATGAATTCTTCTCTGACAGGTTTTTAAAAATTAATATTTTAAATATTCTTTATATATTCTTTGAGAATGTCATACAATGTATTTAAAATTTTATTAGTTTTTTGAGAATTTCATACCATGTGTTTTGATCATATTCCCCTCCAACTCTTTCCTCTGAGTCCTTCCAGATCTGCCCCACCTCCCTCCCCCCACCATCTTAGTGTCCTTCATGTGTGTGCTGCCTGAGTGCTCCTGGGTGTGGGGCCCTCCACTGGAGTGTGGTTGACCTACCAGGGGCCACATCCTTAAGGAGAACTAACTCTCTTCCCCAGAAACTATCAGCTGTTCATAGTTCCTCAGTTAGGAGTGGGGATTCATGAGCCCTTCCCTTTCCATGTGAGAATGGTGACTGGCAGGCACCCATAGGCCCTGAGTTCAAGAGTGCAGTGGTCCTCTGACAAGCCATTTTTATTGTTTATCTAGAGGGAGCTGATGGTTGTTCGCTAAACCACTGCCAAGCATTTTCCTTTTATCCTCTGCTCTGCCAGTTCACAGATGAAAAGATGGGGTAGATGTCACCTATCCAGGAGTCAGCTAAGCCAGAATTAATCACGCATTTGTCTAAAGCAGACTTGAGTATCTGTCTTATGGTATTCAAGGTGAAATCTTTGATAAAACCCAGAACATTTTGGTTTATCATTGCCTTGTCTGCAAGTCACAGACTTAGGAGGAGGAGACAACATTTTAAAATAGTGTCATTAGCAGAGAAAGTAGTTTTCCTTTTCCTTTTTAATTATACAAAATCACGGGTTTCATTGTGACTTTTTTTTTTTTTTTTGGTCTTTTTGAGACAGGGTCTCCCTGTAGCCCCAGCTGGTCTGGAACTCACAGAAATCCACCTGCCCCTGCCTCTGCCTGCTAGTGCTGGGATTGAAGGTGTGTGCCACCGTGCCTGGCTTTCATTGTGACATCTTTATCTTATCCAGACAAGGTTCTTCCTGTAGCCCCAGCTGGCCTGGAACTCACTGTGTAGAGCAGGCTGGCCTTGAATTCACAGAAATCTGCCTGCCTCTGCCGCCAGTTTGCTGGGACTGAAGGTGTGCACCACCACGCCCTCCTCTCCTACCCCCTTTTATCACCCTCCCCAGTCCCTTCCTCTTTCCAAATAGTCCTCCAGGAAGTATCTTTGGATGGATGTTTGGGGTCATAAACCATCAATAGGCAGCACTCCCTCCTTTTGGCTTAGCAAGATGACCTTTTCCTTCTGCTGAACCCCTCCTTTCTTAGGTGATCGCTGCTGCAAAAGAAGGTTTTGAGGCTGTTGGCTATGAACTGAATCCATGGCTAGTTTGGTACTCCAGATACTGTGCTTGGCGAGAAGGTGTGCAAGGGTCCACCAGGTTTCATGTTTCGGATCTATGGAAGGTATGCGGCAGAAAATGGATGTGGGTGGTGTTGAGAGAGCCAACTGTGGGACTGACAGGGCATTAAAAGAAAAAGAATGGAAATCCAAATGAACATTTTGGCATAACAAAATGTGTATGCATTTTAATTGATAGATTGTGCAAATAAGCTGTGCTGTAGTATAGAAGCTTCACATGTTGATAAAAGTCATGTGAATTCTAAGAATTTCCTCACTAAGGGTTCTCGTCTTGTTTATTGTGAAAGAGTTTTCATTTGTGGAAATCATATAAATTATTCTTGATAATAACTTGGCTTTTCCATGTATGTTTGAATGTGTGTATGTGTTTGTGTGTGTATTTGCATGTGTTTGCCTGTGTGTATTTGCATGGAGAGAGAGAGAGAGAGAGAGAGAGAGAGAGAGAGAGAGAGAGAATAGAGGAAAGAACCCACTAATTGCACTGTGGTTACTTCTTGTCCCCATAAAAGTAGGAGGCTTGGGACTGGAGAGATGGCTCAGTGGTTAAGAGCACTGACTGCTCTTGCAGAGGACCTGGGTTCAATTCCCAGCACCCACAAGGTGGCTACGAACCGTCTTTA